AAATTGATGGTCGTGACTGTGGATCCTTTCCATACTTAGTTCGGAAGTTTCGCTGAGTCTGCAGATCCGATTTGGTTTCAACAAACCACGATACACACTGTGCCTTCTCTCGAGGAGTGGCCCATTTTGTAAGGGGTTCGTTTAACAGTATCTTATTCATCGACAGGGTACCTGAAATTCAACCTTGATAAAAACCTTGATAACCACAGAGTATATAAAACAAATCTGACAGAGATATCTCATCAATTGCCTTTGTAATAAATTTTTGAAATTGTAAAGAGACTTTATGGACATCCACATAGGGTTACGAACATTGCAAGAAATCGAGTACCGTCTTGATGTGCTTCGTGCAACTAATGGTGCCCATATAGAGAGAGGTGTATTAAATGAGGCGAAGAAGAAACTTAAATATACACGTCTCACTTTGTAACAACTTCCACTTATCTGTCCTCTCATCTGCCGTTGTAATAAACTTTTGAAGTTGCAAAGGGACTTTATGGACACCCTGTACATATAAATACAAACACTTGAGACTAGTGGCAGCATGTGCACAGCATGGCTCTTAACGACGCTTTCGCAAAGTAACAGCAACGTAGAAAGCTTGTTGGCAGAGACGTAGAAAAGACTGAAGCGAAGACGAGATCTGAAAGATCCGCGAGACTTCAGATCTCGAGATCGCCAGATGGTCTTGCCTTCGATCCACGTGATGTGAAAGAGTTCCTGGACGAAGGGGAGGGCCACGATTTAGAAGGTCAGCTCGCACGAGTTAGGGAAACTCGCGGCTTACTACTACCTTGCTTTGCCACCGTTCGTCGCTTCGTGAACACCGCTGATGTTTCAAACTGAACGCGTTTGCAAACGAGACGCGATTGAAGATTCGATTTTTTTTATCATTTTTATCAACTTTCTTCTGAAAGTAATTCGCCGAAATTCCCTTCCCCGATGCGAGATGTCTCCCCTCCGAGAAGGATGTTTTCTTTTCGAGTTAGCGTGCTCTTCTGGTGACTGCTTCGACCACATCGTGAACGGCCGGCGGAGCGTCATAATTTCAATCGTGCACTGTGTTTCAGGAACCTTGACCGTGAACGTGAGCGTGCTGTTGCTAAGTTTGGCCTCACCCGACGAGTCCAGTTTGGTAATTAATAATAAATAAATTTCGCCACTTCTCAAAGTCGTTCTTAAACTCGCTTCTTAAACGATCGATATTATTGGAAAGTTAGGGATAGCGAACGATTCAAGTTAATTGCTACATTTATCATGTTAACTGCGTTTATTATATTAAACTCTTGTGCTGGAATGACGTTCAAAAGAAAAAGAAACGCGGCGAATTTTTGTATATAGGTCCGGTCACTCGTTATGGTCCGCGAACCAAGTTGCCAGCGCAAGTGGTTAAGGACAGAAAACAGCTAAGTTGTTTTTTTTTTTTAAACTCGCTCCAGAAAGAATTTATTTCGGTCAATCTTTATCCAAACTAAAAGACAGCAAATTGACGTTTGCAATTTGTAATTCTTGTATGATACATTTTTCGAAATTTTAATCTGCAACCGTATCGCAAATTTTGTGGAAATAATATGCAATATATATATAAAATATATAAAATACTCGCGCAAAAGAATTTCTTATCTAGATTCCACACATTTTCTTAATCATCATTACAAAAACAAATAAAATTGCACAAACATCCGCACAACAGTCTAGTTACAACTAGAGCAATTCTTAATTTATAATTGAGAATAATTAAATTAAATTCTTCATTTATAATTGAGAATAATTCAATTGAATTCTTCATTTATAATTGAGAATAATTCAATTAAATTCTTAATTTACAATTGAGAATAATTCAATTGAATTCTTCGTTTACAATTCGAGAATAATTGAGTGAAATTCTTCATTTATAACAACAACTATATCAAAAGGGAAAAGCGAAAATCAATGTCAAAACGGGCGGCAATCATTCGCCAATGGGTGAATTTCACATCTTGTTTTGTCCGAGGAAACAAATTGGATCGTTGAAACTTACCGTTTCTGTTAAGTTGGAAGAACAACGAGACCCGTCACCCGTTTGATAAATCCATTTACGCGGAATGCACCAGGTGCGCCGAAGCCGGTTTAAAAACACGGCAAGCGCGTGCCATTCACGAGACGAAATATGCCGAGACTTTTGTAACGATTCTTCTCTCTCTTGCGTTTGCCCGGCAGAAATACGAGGTGGAGTTCCTGCTGCAACAACAGTGGTACGATCCGCGACTACGCTACAGCAATCGGTCGCAGTACGAGTTCTTGAATGCGATTCATCATTACGATGATATCTGGTTGCCGGACACGTACTTCATAATGCACGGAGACTTCAAGGACCCGCTCATACCAGTCCATTTTGCCCTTCGGATATATCGCAACGGCACGGTCAACTATCTTATGCGGTATTCATCTCCCATTCTCTCTTCGAAATTAATTCGTCTTTACGTTAATAAATAATGACCCCTTAAGGGCTCGCTGAATTTTAAGGGACCGCGTACATATATATGTACGCGTGTCGAAAAATCTTTTTTTACTCTATTATTTTGTATTATACGATTATTTTTATCGTGTTTTATTTAATATTGTACTGTATTATTATTTATTATTTATTATTTATTATTTTTTACACTGTATTATTATTTATTATTTATTATTTATTATTTTTTACACTGTATTATTATTTATTATTTATTATTTATTATTTATTATTTATTATACTTTTAGTATCATTTATTATTACTTATCGCATTGTTTTAAATTATATTATATTATTATGTATACTACGTTATTTTATATTATATTAATTAATTTAATTTATTTATTTATTATAACACGAGATAATCTACATTACGTTATTATTTATATCGTATTATTTTATATTATAAATAATATTATTATTATTATTTTATGTTGTATTACATTTTATGTGCGTTTATGAAATGAGGCGCCATTTCTCGAAAAAGTAATGCTCTCGTTTGCTGCGCGTATAAAATTTGTTCAAAGCGAATTTGGATTTTGCGATAATTATTATTTAGAACAGAGATACATTTTTCAGCGGCGACTCAGCCCCTAGTTAAAAAAATTAACATTCCACGTAACTTTTTACTGTACGTAATACGTCACTCGACGTTAATTTCCATTTGCAAGAAACTTCACTTTTTAGTTAGTATTATATTACATTCGGGTTTTTGGTCTGTGGCCTTCTTTCGTAACGCGTAACAATTTTTTTTTTTTTTTTTCTTTTCGAGCAAACAGAATCCAAAAATAAAACGGTAGTTCAATAACAAAGAGATAATTGCTCGAAACAATCCGTCACATATACGTACGTACAATGTAACAATGGTTTAAAGTTTTGCATTGTTACCTTTCCCCGTTTGCAATACGACAGAATTAAAATGTAATTGTTACTACGGGGACGCGTAAAAAATGAAAGAGAGTGTAAAACGGTTGTAGCTAGATTTGAAATGAAATATGTATCTCGAGTATCATTTGGAACAAGGTGAAAGCGATGTGGAACAATTTCATGAGCAAACTTTCGATCTTGTAGGCGTCATCTCATCTTATCCTGCCAGGGTAGACTCAATATCTTCCCTTTCGATGACCCACTGTGTTCATTCGCGATCGAGAGCAGTAAGTGAATACTTTACTTAGAGTTTCTCTACGTTCCTCACGAATGTCTGTATAAAAAAAAAAGTATGATACTCTGCCGATGATACTTTGACCTGATTAATCGATTCTGTGCATCTCTCTTCAGTATCGTACGAGCAAACGGCGATCACGTACGTGTGGAAGAATGACGAGGGTACGTTGCGGAAGAGTCCTAGTCTAACGTCGCTGAACGCATACCTCATTAAGAACCAGACAATCACGTGTCCGATCAAAGTAAGCTGGAGAGGTGAGTTAAAGCGGTTTATCCTTTCGAGAAACGTGGTACTTGGTATACTGACAGAAAAAGGAAAAAAGAAAAAAAAAAAACGTAGAGAAAATAAATAAGGCAATGTACGACGATACAATCGAGATACGAGAATTCTCCGAGTTATCATCGTTCAGTTTCAATGTTTTTTTTGGAAAGATCTAAAGGTGAGAATCATGGTTGGTCGTTATGTATAAAATATTCACATTGAATAGCGAACAAATGCGGCCGAATTTATGAATCTAACTTCAATCAGATCCGATTTAATTTCTGAACATCGTTTGGTTTTATTATAATTATTAAAAATATTGTCAAAAATAATAATGTATTGTTAATTGTAAACTGTACGATGATACTCTTGATATTGCGATATGACAAATGCATCGTTAGGTCTATCGAGTTATCATCGAATCAAATGATCGAATCAATGATCGAAGCGAATAAGACCAAAAACAAAAGAAAAAAAGAAAAATTGAAAAAGAAAATGTCGCCGAAATTATATACCATTTTCTATTCGTTATCTATCAGTTCTCTTTTATGATTTTTACTGCATCCTTAAATAACACGCTTCTGTACTGTTGCAATGCACTAAACACGGCCATTTCGTTAACCCACGAAAACGATTTTAGTGTCGCTTGTACACGCACTCGAAGACACTCGAGTTCAACTTTTCTCTCTCTCTATATATATACATATATGGTGGCCAACGAGCCGATCACTATCTTTTTGTACTCATCATGTACTTGCTAGATCATCCTGAAAGTTTTCGCAGTTTTGAACCATCAGTTGTTTCCCAAAACGACATATATTTCGATGAAATACAATATTTTTACGTTATTAATAAGAAAATAATAATAATATAAAAGTAATAAAATGGTAAAAGAAATACCATCACATTCAAATATTACCAATTCACAGATATCGGTATGCAGAAAAGATTTGTTGAAACTATTTGCAAAA